GATTGTTAAGCAAATATGTTATGACTTTTTAGTCTTTTACATAACGTTCAAGAAATATAAAGTAATGCAACATCGAGTTACTTGGCATTGTTATTAATGTTGTTTAAAGGATAGTAATTATTTCGAATGCAAGCATTTCTTGATATGATTTTTATTTAAATAATAGTACAAATTTTCACGCATAGGTCCATTATGATTTGGTTGACTGACTTTTTAAAACTGTTTAACTTTTCATGACACGTATTTAACGAAATTGAAAAGTATGAAGAATTTATAATAAAATACATACTGATAAATTTCAGAATTAATGATCTAACCATGTTTTCACTAAAACGATAAACAAATAATAATATATCATTAATAGAACTACATTACATAATTCTTTAGTGATGATTCAATAGGATATTATACTCTATGATGGAATAATATTCCAAGATAAAAATAGTATAAAATACACAGTAGAAAAGTACAAATAGAAGGGACATTTGTAATCCATGTAACGCATTGAACGAATAAACTCACATATTGGTTCACATCTGAGATCGGATTTAATTAATTACTTTTAAAATATTCGTGTCATATTAAAATTTTTTATGAACGAATTTTTTATAAGTCCCTTTTTTGTAATTAAATTACAATTCAATTTGATGATATACAAACAGTAAGAATCCTTATATAACAATAATAGAGGAAACAATATTGAATCCCAATAAACATACACGTTATTTCCTTACAATCATGGCACACTTACATAATGATAGGCTTAAATCAATGAAATTATATTATAGTACATTCGATGCAATATGTAAAATAATACATGAATTTTATAACATGTAAATTTGAAAAGGAAGACACTTTAAAAAAGAGACACAGGACAAACTAAAATGTAAATCAATTTGCTGAATAATATTGTCTTTTGCTTCTATCATAAAGGTACATTTTCTACGCGTCTCATCGTACATACAATGTTACGTGCTTTGATTTCTACTGCTGCTTAAAATCCTTTATGACATAATTCGTTTACCCTTTCTCATTATCTTCTACGTTATCATAATTTCTATCGTAGCTTCTTACTTGACCGTAACATTTCGTTTTGTGCGAAATATCTTTCTTTTCTCTTCCCTGTCTTCTAAACAGACACGTATTTCACACAGAAGGTAAGAACGTTTTCGTAATCTGAAAATAGAGTGGCGCATTTATAATTAAAGCGATTGATCGCAGAGAATAAATGCGATAAGTCTATTTTTGCAGATTTCCTCCCCAAAATAATAAAATAATTGATAGAATTGATATCATCCAATGATACTTTGTACAAAATTAATGACATTTCCAATATTATAACAATCGATATGTCCTTTCAGGAGGATAGACAAAATACAAATTTAATTCAAGAATCAGATTTAAAAATGTCCTTCGTAACTCAAACTGTCACTTTATTTTACACGTACAAATGAAATGGTTTTATTATTTTAAGATTGCTATTGTACTAAAAAGACAAGAAACTAAAAAAATGTAACTTATACATATATCACGTTCTTCCCCTGTACTTTTCTTTTGTCGCATACAACAATCTACTTTTATATTAGATAATCAGATAAAGATTTTACAGCGGTATTTCTAACTTTTAATAGATTTTATGGTACATATATCTTATAGGTCCTGTGAACGCTCTCACACGCAGTATATGCTTTCACATTCTTTCATAATAATTATTAATTGGGCCTTGTAATGTTATTAAAACGTATTTAGTCTCGTTCTGCATTATTTATATAATATTCCGCACTTAACATTCATTATGTTAGAAAAGCGTAAATTTGTTATTCAGTCGTTGGTGTCGTTATTATACACCGAACAACGGTGCTATTTTTTTAACACACAATATCGTTTAATTTAATTCTCTCATAGCGATATTTTATTTGATAGCTTTAAGAATGCAATTTTTAATAACAGAAAGAGCTCTATCCTTTCTTGCCTTTCATTAAAAACGATGGACATTTTCGTACATTTTCTCAATTAACCAGTTACAATCGATTCACTAATAACAATATTTATTTACGAAAGTTAATTAAATGATCATACCTGAGTTAAATTTTTGTTCAAAGAATTTTGCTGGAGAAAAAGAAATAGTAAAAATTCTTTTTCAATTTGAAAATGAATTTATTCTACAGAATAAATATACAGAATACGTTTTTCCAAATTGAACATCGATATGAAAGAATTAATATGATGATCTTAAAAATTCGGCAAAAAGTAATAAGCTAAATAATTTCACAATTATGTTACAAATTGTTAAATACATCAAGAGGAATTTTATTACATTAATTTCTGAAATTATCGTTACTTGCTTTGGAATGTATAGGAAAACAATTACTAAGTTTCACCACATTAATACTGCCACAACTGCAGCTCCGAGAAAAATAATTTGATAGATAAGTACACTTTGCATAATCTCTTCTGTAAACTGTGAGAGCTTTTAACGTGATGAAGCAATATGTTTTTATATCTACAAGTATATTAACTTTCTAAGTCTTTTGTAATTAATTATTTAATAATTCACATGTTATTAATTGTTCTGAACTTGAAATCTTTTGTGGAATGTTAAAATTTCTTTGTAACGTGTACAAAATGTTCATGTTTCATGCATAGATATAATATAAAGAAACAATTCGCATAATTGTTTTCTCGTGAATATATATTCTTTCATGTTCATAAAAATTCTTCTGTTTTCTTATTTATTAAATACGTAGTCGTAAAATATTTACAGCTTACTCTCTAGCGCTTATTTCTTAGAAATGTCATTTACGTTTATTGATATTTTTATAAACGCACAGCACTTTCAGAACAACCTACCGCGAGACGTTCTTATTTCTTGCTGAATTCTCTCAATACCTTTCCTATACTTAAGGATATGATATTTATTATAATCTAACTATAAAAACAAAACTCGTATCATCTTTCTTTAATTGTATAAAAATTAAATTCGTTTTTCAATATCGCCCAATTCTTTAGGTATTGCAAATGCTATAAAACGAATTCAAATGCAGGAATAGAAAATAAACAACAAATATACAGATATGTATGTATAATACTAATTATCAAATTTGAAATTTATATTAGAAATTCCATGTTAAACAACGTAACTTTGCTTTGTAATAACACTTTGTCATAACATGTCTAAGCTTTGTAATTACAGTTAAACGTTTTTATAATTTGTAACTGAAATTATTTCCGAGGTAACAATAAGAAATTATAGCAAGGAGTTTATTGTTGTTTAACCCTTATTCACTTTCTGATGTAAAATGTACTACAATTGCATGGTTTTTACACAAAAAATGATTAAATAAGAGAATAAAAAATATTCCGTGATGAATTTCATATTGTAGCATTAATTAATACTACAAAGTACATAAAATATGTAAATGTATCAAAACTTAGATATTTTAAGAAATACAACTGTGTATGTATATTACAAGCTTTTATAAATGATTGAATGTTATCATACAACAACAGTCATTTTATCTCATAAAAAAATTGGTTAAAATTCAATTTATGTAACTCTGCATCCATAAAAAAGACTATGGTCGCTATATTATACTTGTACTTCTAAATTAACAATAAAATATGATTCTTGTGAGTACATAAAAGATGAATAAGGGTTACCAAGATATTTTACACATATTACTAAATAATAACATAACTAAAGCTGTTATATAAATGAAAACAGGTAATATATTGGCACTTATACAGATATTTTGATACTTTCAGATGTAATCATTCGTCTCTATTTAGTACTAACTGACATTGAATGACTGTTATTAACAATTCATAAAAGAAGCAAAATTCCTAGATACTATACAGTACATTCAATGTGAAAAACCGTGATGTTCGTAGAAAAAGACGATAACAAAATGGGCGGCATAATTATCGTAAGTAATTATATATGTATAGGATGATCCACTTTTATCTCTATGTGATTTTATCTCAGAATGTATGTTAAATCGAGAGCAATTTTGTAGACTTTAAGATCTTAAAGGATTTCTATTGTCAGTTTTTTCAATAAAGAAAAAGAAGAACGTGATAAAATACATTTAATTATATGAACATTTTTAGAAGTCAAAAGTAATTAACTATTTCAAAACTCTAATAAATTCGGAGCCTAATATATGCAACTACATTGTCTAAAATACAGTAGGTCATAGTTGGAGGTATTTAATTCTCTTTGATATTATGTGACTCAAAAGAAACATTGTACTCTATGAAAGCAAAAATAACATTATACATTTGCATACTTTTGTACTTAGTCAATAAATATATAAATCTTATATTCTTAAAATCTTACGAAGAGTAAATGAGAACAATAATATTAAATGTTGAAAAGAGTTGGTTGATATCATATAAAATTGAAGTAATGTTCTTGAATGATCATCTTATCTGTAGAGTCACATCTATCTTATACTCTCACTTCCTTATATTGTTGCTTTTCATATTAAAAATTATAGGTTTTGTTAACTCTTGAAATCCTTCATTTCCTTGCAATTCAACATATTTTCTGGGATAAACAGACACATCAAAAATAGATCAGCCTTTATATATTTATTACTATTGGCACTTAAAAAAATGCCTTGTCAAAATTTATCACTGTAATTATAAATACGTTTGCCATAAATGTAAAATACGAAATACCGTGAACATTAACCGTACGCGTGTGTCGAACCTCTAAATTCGTACTTCTATATATTTTTATACGTCCAGAAATATAAAAATTATCGAGGAAATATTTCTTTTTACAATAAACTATTAAAATAGAATTGTCACCTCGGTTGATATTCGTATTATGAAACTATTACTTGGTTCCAAACATACTTCTATGTCGTTAAGCTTAACACTTCGCATTTCGTAATTAAGAAGCGCTTTTTACACGACATTCTGATAGTACGTTATTATAATTCCTCGGTCTAGTTCTAATATTGATAAAAATATTACCTAGATCAGATGACACATCATCTAAAAACAAAGAAGTAAATTGAAACAACAAATAATGAGAAATTTGTAAGTGTCCCTGCGGACGCACAATGCAAAGTGTCTCTGTGATAATACGTCGCAGGTGGATGTTCATCTCCTGGCTTACAGTATTCGTGTTTTTCTTTCAGTTCCGCCTGTAAAAAAGAGACACATGAGGTATATACATATATTTAGTATCTCTTTTAGTTGTAGGAAAGAATTGCTATACTTAAGGGATTAAGTATAATTGTTAAGGACGGTAATTGGGATGGTAAATTTTATTATACCAAGAATGATTGGGATCAGGAATATGTTTATTAAACATTTCCCATTTAGGATGGGAAACCTCCCATTTAGAACCTCAAATCAATTTGTAAAATTTCGTTTGTTCGTAGAACATCTTGCATAAGTAAATTAAAAAAAAAATTATTTTCGTTAATTTGTAAAATATATTTTGAGTTTAGGTGCGTAATATATATTTCATCTGGCATAACATTCCTTCTTACCTGACAGATATCTTTACATGGAGGACAAATTAGAGCTCCTTTATGAAGCCAACCATTTTGTATTATTCTGATAGTTATTTCTTGACCAGCATGATAACACGTGTATGTGTAATTTGCAACCTATACAATAAAGTATGTTGAGGAGGATATAATTTATCGATCTTATAGTGTTAAATATTGTTACGAATATTTAACAGCCACAGTATAAAAAGTTAAAGCCAAGTGTATCGCGACAGAAAATTCGAAAGACCATCGATCTTTATGGTAGCTTATGATGGTGGCGGATATGAGCGGCTGGCGTATGTTAATAACAATATATAACACAAAATAAAAGTAGGTTTATGTCACTGACCATTATATGTAATCTACCAGCTTCACATTTATACTGATAACATCCGGAACCCCAATGCTGCCATTGCCGAGCTTGTTTGCAAGCCCTTTCTTCCCACATTTGGTTTGTATGATCGAAGCATCTTGAATGCGAGCCATACTTTTCCAGAGCAAAGTTTTTGTCTGGATCTGTTCAGAATTAATTCAATTAATAAAATTAATATATTCTACTATATACTATACCATTTATGTATATTATTTATGAATACTATTTATTCAACGTTACGTTATGAAAATTAACAATAAACAGAACGTTTTAAAACGATAGCTTCTACTTTCATCTTAAACTTGAATATTTACGTAATTCGTTAAAATTTGTATTAATTCCAAAAACAAGTTTAACAAAAGCTAGTGTTTTCTATATTATAGCAGAATAGAATTTCCAGTATCATTTGCGATACAACTTACGAGGATTATTCTCTTCGTAGAGACAATGAGAGCCTCTAACTACTATGTTTCGAGCTCTCCATGTGAATTCCTGAATGTACGGACAATAATCTGCCAGAGATACTGAACCACCATAATATTGTTCCTCTCCAGCTGGTACGTGCGGGATAGAGTCAAAGTTCTAAGAAACAAAAGATCGGTACAATACTATCTTTTATCCGTAAAAAATATACTCCGTAGATAGAGTGATATTTTATTAAAAAAAAATTTTTTTTGCGAAAAGGACGATTAAACGTAAGCAATTTCATACCTGGTACTTTTTAGGCAGAGGCAATGAATATTTAATTAGATTACACAACGCCACCGAACTTCGATCATCGGTACATTCGGTTTGCAACGGATCCTGTTTTACTTTGTTACAAAAGGGATGAATAGACTTCCCTCTAAAAAACAATAATCTGTTACATCAAAAATATTTAGTGTTTGATCATAAAAATACCTATAGAATAATTTTGTTTCATTTTTACATAGCATAGAGTTTGTGTTTATTGTATTCAATGTTTAATTATATTCACGAACCACTAAATGTTCTATAATATTTCTAGGTGGAATTATTCCATTAACTGTGAAAACGTATAATTAAACGTAACGTAAAAATACATACGATAGTCGCGAAGATTTCGAAGATATCCATTCCTTGCACGACTTCATCGAAAAATCGCAGCCAAGATTTTTCCCCCAACCCAGTTCTTGAGCCATTGAGTAATTTGCACTGTACCATCCAGTGTCTTCCATAAGGGCGAGGGTTATTCTCGAATAAACGGGATTTTGCGTATGTGTTCCTGTCATCGCTTCGTTCTAAAATGGTACAACGACAAAAGCACTACAAATCGATATAGATTCGATCTTTTGTAAAAAAAACTTAAATTTATTTCAGCATTATATAAATCAAATATTATTAGCCAGATGATTTCTTTAATAGTTCTCTAACGTTCCAAAAAAAAAAATATTATTCTAAATCGCAATCGTAAAGACACAGTACATAAACACTGAAAATTGTACAATTCTAATATTTATAAAGCTGATCAAATTTTATTAAGATTAAAAGTAAATTAATTCTTGATTTTCTGCGATTCGTTGTTTATTGTTTTTATGATTCACCTTAAATTTTTAATTTACCTCGAAGACTCGTTTTTCCCAATGCGTCAGTGCCGTGCCATCCTCCCCCTGATCTTCTAATTCCGCACCTTCTAGTTCTGGACAATTGAAGTGAGCCTGAGCCTCAGCACGAACCCTCGGCGTGACTATCATCTGCATCGACCTTTCCACGTAACCACCGTGTACCTGCCAATATCGTCTAACGACCGTTCTGATCGTGTTTTCACTCCACTGATGCGTTTGTAATCTATATGCATATAACAGGATTAGCCAGTATTATCAGTATAAAAATTCATTGACACCGTAGCAAAATGATAAAAGATACAACGATACAATAAGGTATTTAAAATAAACATAAATATCTTAATTTCTATGATCAGTTTGACGATGCTTAATGCGGAAATTATATTTTTATATTACAGACATTTATTTCATCCATTAAATATCATGACGAACACATCATATATTATATATATAATAATCTAATTATTATAATAATTATAATAATACATATACATCTATGTATATATATTTGCGTGTTACATGTTTTTCGTTCTGTGTATTTTTGCATCATTAAATTTCCCACAGATGCAAGGAAAGACATTCACAACGTGTTAATTAATTTTGTATGATTTAAGATATTATTGAAGATTCTACTTATAAGAAAAACTATATTTCCCCTAAGCAAATGTTTTTTCGAAACGTCGTTGGATCTATCAGGGAACCCAGAGGATAGTATTCGTCATGTTGTAATGTTTAACGAGTTCTCACCCTTTTATTACCAGGGTCATACTTCCATAATCGCGTAGTCTACCTTTTCTAAAAAAAGAAAAATATATTTCTCAAGAGCAGTTGGTTGCGGCAACATGGGAACTTTTAACAAATCGTAAGAATCCAGTTCCTCCGGTCTGTAAAACTTTAACAAAGCAGGAAAACGCTTACAAAATAAGCGCAATACAGGAGAATTTGTAGAAAAAGATCTCTTCAGATTATCAAGATATATCCTCACAGTGTCCATTGTACGTAGATAGACGTAAAACGTACGTACGAAGATCCACACAAAGAAGCTCAAATATGAGAGAATGAAAGCACGCAAGCTTACGGTCAGATGGATCGTGGATACAGAAGGGTAGACGATGGCAAAGAGAGAATGAGATCACTGCTAAGCTACGAGTCAATGTAAGAGAAACGCCAAAAGAGAAGAAGAAATGGCGAAGAGCAAGTAACGTGTTCGTCTGACAAGGCCGGAACCTGGTTCGTTACGGTTCGTCGATTTCGTTGGAACCAAGAATATCAGGAACACAAGGAATTTTCCAATTTTAAAGGCAGATACACCGGCTCAGTGTCAGGGGGCGAGAATATGCGAGAAAAAAGACTCGTTGCTGAAAAAGAAAGGAGGAAGACAAAGGGACATTATTGCGGGATGATGGATCGTTGAAGAAAGCGAGCTATTCCCTTCGACGCTAGTTAGACTCGAAGGAAACGGCTTTGTCATGTGATATGTGTATATATCTACATGGCAGATGATATATTATACTTTTATTGAAATCCTTCAAATATAACGATCCGATTATTACAAATAAATGTAATATATCATGGAGAAGATAACTTTATTTAACAACACGTAATCGTTTATTAGCTATGAAAGATAACTTTCACGAGGATAGAGATCCTTAAATTTCCCCTGAAATATCTTTGATAGAAAAAACGACGCTTTATTATGGAAATGACTATAGACCATCTTATCATATATTAATTTTCTACTACCATATCATAATATTAATTCTTCTTATATAAAAGATAACTTCTTTCTTTTTATTTCATCTTGTAAAAACTGCTTCGGTCTTGGAAGAAATAAAGTACCAATAATTAATGAAATATTTCTGAAGCAGGAAATGATAGTAGCGTAATAAAGCGACATATACTTACTTTTCGTTTAACATCGGTTTCCCTGTATCGCTTCTCCTTGGAGTTCTAGGCTCACCATTCTCATCTCGGTAGAAAGCGTATAAACTTACAGAGAATCCCAGTGCGTGTAATATCTCATGTTTCACCGTGCTTAATAATGTTTCTAGTTCCTGTGGCTTCGTGCTTATGCTATTCGGACACAAATTGGCGTGACCAGCTATCGGTCTGCAAAATATCAAATGAGATTCCGGTTGCATTGAATTCTATCACAAAGAACAATTAAATAAAGAAAATTTAAGAATATATAAATAAATATTAAATAAAGAATTTAAGAATAATTTATAAATATATATATGTGTAGCAGAGAATAATATACGTATAATAATTTAGATAAATACACAGACAAATAATTTACCGATCTAACGCTGCCTCTGTTTGGCAATGCGCTGCATAAGCCACGGTTAATCCTTTATGGCATCTTGCAGTTTGCATCGCGGATACATAGAAGACAAAATCGGCACCATCTATACCTGGGCCTGCCCTACTTCCTTCAGCAATACCGCAATTATGTCCTGTTGCATTACATGTTCTACAAACCTGTTTATCAAGTAAACGCATTACATTCTATTTTTCTGTATCGAATATACTGCGAACAATTCTGTTAATTCTACAAGGCGAAAACGTTATTTCCATCTGTCTTAGGTCTATCATTAGTATTTATCGCAGAAATGAAATAAAAAGCATAATGAGAAACAGTTAGTGAATCTGTTTAATAAGTCCAATTTCAAGTATTTCTTTGCCAGAGATGATCTGATATGTAAAAAATAACCATTGGATAAATTCATTCTTAAACTTATTTTAACCGACCCACACGTTTTAATCTCTTAATAGGGAAAAGAAGGAAAATAAAAATATCGTAATTATCATCATTTTTATCGTTTGCTAAAGAAATCCAAATATAAGTATTCATGAATTTTTTAATAATTTCAGTTTTGACAATGTTAAAGTTTCAATGTTCTATTTAAACGTCTAGCAACGGGCAGAGCGATTGAATATCTGCGAAATCGCAGCAATAAATCGATTTTGCATCGAATTTTGTTCATATAGTTATACGTAGATGTTAAGCACATTTTCGACATCAACGAATAATCTAGTTTTGTATCGCGAAACACGCATATAAAATTGATATATACTTCACAATTATTCACATAGGTATATCACTTCAATAACTTATTACATTTGAAAGGACATGTTAAAAGAGAATAATCGAAACTGGCTAACTTTTTGTGCATTTCATAGCCCTCATTATGCACAATACACTTTTGTTGATAATAATATTCATGATAAATTAATATTTCAATTTTCCTAACAATAATATCACCGTGTTCGTTGCTATGGAAATTATTAATTATGTTCTTACGTCAAGATGATCTTCGGGCACGACTACTTCACCGCACATTGTAGTAGTTCGACAGGTATCTATACAGTGAGTGTGATGATCTTTGACGAACACTTGACTACTTTCGCATTTCCTAAAACAGACGAGAATTTAAAAATATAACGTTCTTTATCTTTAAGAAAGACAAGCAATAATAATGCTTAGAGGCGAGTGCAGTTTGTGTTTTCTTAAAAGAAAGAAAAAAAAAACAGTATTGTAAAAATCGCGATATAATCTTCGTTGTGCGTTGGAAGCTTCGCTTGCGTTTTAAGCTTATACGCTATACATTTAAGAGACATGATCGACGTAACCAGCATGGGACAAGTGGTCTGAAAACTTTTGAATAACATCGATCCGTATACTTTTATGCGATAAAAGTACATAGATACGTATACATAGTACATCGGGAAGGGAAATACTACAATAGGAGGAAGGATAAAACGGACTCCTGGGGAAAAACCGACAGCGAAGGTATAAGTGCACTCTGTTACATAAACGTTCACGATCGAGAAGTATTCCACGACACGTAGAAAAATATCGTTATTCTTGACGTTTTAGATTTTAAAGTTTGATGCGAGTATGTAGACAAAGAACTTGAGAAAGAAAGTGAGATTCTTCTATTTATCTTTTGACTTACATCGACAAATCTATAATTCTCCAAGGATACATTCAGCTACCACGACCACATCCATTTTCTACGTACAACCAATAATTAATTACACGTATATTGGAATTTTTAATTTCATATCGGGAAGGAATGTAAAAATTCTGCGAATTACTGGCAAACAATCGAAGAGTTTCATGCATCTTTATTTGGTTTCACGAGCGAAGGATGTAAATAACGAAATGAACGGATACAAACTTAGGGACTCGAACGACTATTGATTATCAATTAATAAAATGGATGGCTTCGAGAGTTCAGTATTCTATCGATGCAACTGATTTGGCTTGCCCCGTAGAGTTTGTAATTTCAAATATCGCGTTTTCTTCGTAATCACATTAAATACGGCAGCCGGCTTAGTGAAAAGCGGGCTTATGTAGTTTAGATCCCGGGTCTTGATACTATTCGAACCTTCGACGGTTTCTATTATATCGTCCTCGATGGGTTTACAGGTCCAAAAGCCCACAAAATTACACGTAGACATTTATACAGGTAGTTTATAAATATATAGGAAATTTTTCAGAAATTCATTTTAAACGTTAACACCGTACATGTATTTATTGTTTTATATATTTTCGGATACTTTAATTGATATTATTAATATTGAAATTCTCGAATTAGGAATAGATTTCGTGCACTTGAAAATTATCAAAAATGTGGCTATAGCATTGATGTTTAAACGTGTATCAATTATTATTTATATTTATATTATATAAAATCTAGCAAATAGACATATATGTATATGTTAAATATAAGATAAGTATTACCAACTCTTTGCTTTTCTCTTTCAAAGAACGTTTGCTATAATAATATTATTATAACATTTCTATGAAAATTTTATTTGTTTATCATCTGCTGTAATTATATATATATAATTATATATATATATAATTATAAATATATATATAAATATATATATATATATGTACATATATAGCTGTAATTATATATATATAATTATATATATATATAATTATAAATATATATATAAACATAAATATATATATAATTATATATATATAATTACAGCAGATGATAAACAAATAAAATTGCCGAGGAAAGTTAATTTTAATCTGATGCTTCCGTAAAAACGATAAAATCGGTGTGTATAGATTATTCGAAAGGCAAATACGCTTTCGAATTTTCTTCTTTCCTCTTTCTACAGGCAGAGAAAGAAAAATGTGTGTAATTTCCTCGAATAACATGTACCGGTATCAGCAGCTTCTCGAAGCCCCTGAAATTGCAAGATTTTATCTCGACATGAATGTGCCCGATGTCAGCGATAGAAAGACGGTCGAAACCTTTTGCTTTTTTCCTCCCCTTCGTCTCCGCGATAACTGCCAGGCCAGAAAACGAAGAAAATGGATGGGAATGGGAGATTTCGTAAAGGAAAGGGTAAATTGCCTGGAAACTGGTTAAATATTTACGGAGAGGATTTTCTCTTTATGAACTAATATAGCGTGCTCGATTTTAAGGGCCATCGTTAAAGCGATATTGAAATCATAAATCCAAACGGAATTTAAAGGCGCATCGGAAACTTAATGGCACTTATGCCGTTGGCAGAATTTTCCAGAAGCTCGGCTAGAAGGAAAGAGAAGAAGGATGAAACCGATAATGAAAGAGACTGCACATGACGGGTAGTCGTATAAAAGTGGAAGTTATGGAGAAGCAGCTGTGGAGATTTCAATGATTTAAACCACAGATTTTCGGCCGGCAGGAATCCTCCAACTGATCGTACATTACGTAAATTGATTCGAGCGACCGTGCGGTGATCAGATTAACGGATTAAGCGTTATTCAGTCTGGATGTAACACGGTGCAATACGTTACAGCGTGAGTATCTTTGTAACTGCTAGAAAGAATTTTCCAATTTCAAAAGAATATTTATCATTAGTACGTTGTTTCTAGAATTTTAAATTGGATTTACTACGAAAATATCGTATTAAACTAAACTCTTGTTCCATGTACATTCAAGTAACTTTTTGCATTTAAGTATAAGAATATTTTACACTTATGATTTTTAGATTATTTCACACGTAATATATACACTCCTCGTCAAAAAGATAACCCAGGTGTATTATCTTTAATTTCTCAATGACGCGTGCAAAGTTTTTCGTCTGTAACGTACAATATCAAAACATTATAAGCTCAGAATATGCTCTTCGTTGAAAATAATTAAAAATATTATAAGGTTTAGTGTGTAACAAAAAAAAAATTGTTTTATTTTATGAACGAAATGATAACACATGTACAATAAGAAAATAATAATCAACATAAATTATAACTAATAATAATTACTTATCAAACATATATACTTGTTTAATAATGGGTACATACCCCTTTATTTCCTATTACTTCCTATTACTTCCTATTATTTCCTATACTACTATTATTTCCTATTACTTCTATTGTACGATTTGGTATCGATTTATATAGTTTCTGGATATAATTTTGACTTAACGTGTCCCATTCGCGTACAATTGCATTTTTTAATTCTTGTACGTGTTGATACTGCTTTCCATTTGCATATACGCCGTGAACAAATTCTGCCCAACAATTTTCGATAATATTAAGTTCCGGAGAGTGTGCAGACCACGGAAGAATAGATATATTATTTTCATTAAAATATGATTGGACCAATCTTGATGCGTGTACAGGTGCAGAATCTTGTTGAAAGATTTAATCAAGCCCAGAAATGCGTTCTGCATGATTATTTATTTATTCTTTGATTAAACTTATGTATCGGACACTATTCATTTTCCCAACGATGAACTTGATACTTGTCTTGCCGAAATAACAGATGCCGGCCCAAACCATCACGCTGCCTCCTCCCATTTGTCGTCGAATTGCTGACATTGTCTCTTTTCTTATGTCATGAAAATAATATTTTAACCCATCAGAACCATTCAAGTTGAATCTTTTTCATCTGAAAATAGTACCCTTCTCCATTTCTTTTTCCTATGCATTCTTTCTTTTGCAAAGCGTAAACGTTCTACTTTGTGTTTCGTTGTTAACGAAGGTTTCTTCTTCAATTTTAGCCTCTTAATATCTTTGCAGGATAGTAGAACTCGACGAACACTTGAAACACTGGCACTATCATTAGATTTTTCCATTATTTGCTTCGTTGTTAACTGCGAGTTGTAAGCTACACGTAAAATTGCTCGCTTATCACGATCGGATAACGATGATGGCTGACCAGTACTTTTCTTTTTGTCATAATCTTCAACACTTTTTAAGAAATTGTGTATTACTTTCGACTTCTTATTTGCTACTGATAACTGTTGCTGTTTTAGTTCAAGAATTTGCTTTCTTTCAGACTCGTTTAATTTTTTTCCACGTCTCATATACTTACAAATTTATATAATATTGTATTGTAATTTTTACTCGTGGATTAGTTTTAGTATGGATTAGTTTTTCTTTGTTACACACTAAACCTCATAATATTTTTAATTATTTTCAACGAAGAGCATATTCTGAGCTCATAATGTTTTGATATTGTAGGTTACAGACGAAAAACTTCACATGCGTCATTGAGAAATTAAAGATAACACACCTGGGTTATCTCTTTGACGAAGAGTGTATATATTAAAAGGAAACAAAATTCACGTTACATTTATCTTCTATGAAACTCTGTGAAAGCAGACACTTTGGAATATTCGAAGATACTTTTTTCCATAATACGAGAAGAGTCACCAGTAGGTTTTTTGAAAGAATTTTCGCTTCATTTGGTGAACTTAAAGCAGTCTGAAGCAGTTTGAAAGCATTACTCAAGCATACTTACTCAAACCAGGTAATGCCGAGAGTGCGGATTTGTTGCAGTGACACACTTTCTGCATTACCGTAAGCTCGTCTCATACCAAATCTATTTCTTCGACTAATCTAAAAATCGTATATAGCATTTCCATCGATTGGTAAGTTGAAACTAGATTTATTTATCAGGTACGAAATTTATTTCGGACATTTTGCTCGTTTGCGTCCTTTATACGAATATCGAATTCACGAAATTGCCCGAAAATTCCTATCATGTTCAGAAGCTTAATACAAAATTAACCTGGATTTCGAGGCTTGTTTCGAAGAATGTTTTATTCAAAACACAACTTTGGGGATTCGAAGTTAGCTGATCAAAGATGCTGCGTGTGTTGTTGCTTACACACTGTAATAATATTATGGGGGTTCGGAGTTTCCTCCATATCAAAGTTCCTTATACATGTTGAAACTAGAAAAACGACAGAAAAATGGATTCGTTCCACTGATCGACCGCAAATAATTTCCATTATATTATATTAAGTTGTCCGGAAAGTATTTTTCTTTTACAGACACGTCTTTTGCAACAACGCATCTTTATACAAACATCAAACCTAATCTGTTGAACATTGTGATCTTTAGTTTGATAGAACAAACTGGATCATAAGTAATTCGATAAAATAATATAAAACGGAAAATGTTGTGCATCAATTATTTCCTTATAAAATGAAAGAAACTTTTCGGACAACCTAATACTTATAGATGAATCGCTAATTTTCCGAAATAGTAAAGTATCCAAAATAGAGTGAGCAAAGTGTCGATAAAAAGATAAATCTGAATAAAAATCTGCTTGTAAATGATCATGTCGTGAATGATAAATGTTTGAGATTCGCTATATGTTCTCTTAATCACACACTGTAATATTCGCGCATATCAATGATCAACGTTCTGACCAACTAAATTCTTCGAACAAGGTGTTATCGAAGCGAGTTAACGTTGAATATGTATAACAGAATATTAATTTCCACCGAAGCTTAGAGGATATTAGCTTACCAGGCGCGTCAAAGTGAATTTCTCCCGCGTTCGACAAGAATAACAGATTCATGGTCGAGAGCAGAGGGTAAAAATGTTGTAGGAAGAAGTTGTTTCGATAGTGAATATCGCGCAGGTACTCATGGGAGTCTTTTCAGCGAAGTATTATAGCCAGGGGATATTTATGAATCGAAGGAAGAAGATCTGAGAAAATCCTGCGAGAGACGCTACGCTATCCCGTTCAACTATTCCATCCAGTTTTCGTAATCCCTATTGGATCTGGCCGAGACGATAAAAGAAAACCGTATGGCAGAAACGAAACCACGCCATAAACCGACCAGTTCATTTTCTTACTTCTTCGAATGTTTTTGCTGATGCCATTCGAAAATCATAGCTACTTTCGCCTGTTATTAATGTTGCTCTGTCCTTCTTCTTTTATATTTTGGAGAAATTTGAGAAATTTGAAAAGTTGACAAATTTCAATTGGCGCGAAATCGACAGGGCTTTTTGCGGAAAGCTGATTCGACGGTCGAAAAAAAGAATCTCATAGGTTTGTAAAAGCTACGAAAAATAGAAAAGTGCATCAAAAGAGAAAGGTAGCGCGGGAATGGCGGCCAAGAGATAGAGAATAAACGAGGGAAACGATCCGATTAAAAGTTTGAACAGGTACTGGTGGCGGTAAAGTGGCGCTTGCGTGCATTTTCTCCTAATGGATTTTAGAGTACCTAAACGAACGAATGAACCGTAACTTCGTGAATTTTTACTACAATCGACCAATTTTAATCATTAGCGATACAATTCTTATTTTCATGTATACGTATTTATAGCTCTGATGTCGCGTCAACGTTTTGTAAATTATTCGTTTCTCATTGCACAGCGACTTTCCTTACTTAGGGGTAGGTTACATTATGGCGTTGATCATAATTTATTAGAACTTATGTCATGATAATAATAATGTTAATAACGCGTTTACACGTTAAATCTTATTTTATGAAATTTAATTTTTCCTTTGTTTTTGATTTATATTATTTATATTATTTAAGAAGTTATTTCACAAAAGAAAAGAAATTATTTAAATATAGGTATTATTCCATTGACTAGCATCCATTCATAAGTTCCTAAAATTGAATTGATTAAAATAAATTTATATAATCTATGTTTTACTTTGTTTATGCAGTTAACGGACACATCTGATCTCATTTACAATATTGATGAAGATTAATAATAGAAGCCAACTTGGGTGTCAGTAACTAATGTTACACTGCTCGTTGCGAAGCTTCAGATCAATATTGTACACCACATGTCCGTCTTCCTTCGAAGACAAATGACGTTCCTTGATAACAGCGCATATACCGCAACTGACAGTAATTAATGCCAAATACTGACATATCATTTCTTTCGACGCTAGTAGTGGCGTGGCTTTAGTCTATTCGGTATTAAATGCCGAAGTTTAAATAATTGAAAATCTTGAATCCTGGTTCTTCTAAAGAACATAATAGACAAAATGATGTATTCTTGTTTGGTAAAAGAGTCGTAGGATAATTGTATAAATTATTATACGTGCACCATAAATGATTGAATCCCTTACTTCTCTAAAGAATAATATCCTCGTTTTAAAATAAAAAATTCCCATTTTATGAAACAACTTTGCTTTGATAAACATTCATACGTATATTTCTTACGCTTGGATGCCATCTGAAGATACAAATTTAATAAAAATTGCAAAGAAACAAAGAACACAAGTTCTTCGTTACGAATTCAATTTTCATTCATTGTGTCTTCGTACAGATCTTAGATTGGACCTGTCTATGCCTTTTCTTCTGCGTATCGACGGGGCAAAGTCCCAATATTAAAAAAGCGAGCAGAGTTTGCGAAAATAAGAAACGCTTTCTTCCTGTCTAGTGTGTGTTCCGCGCGTGCTTGTTGAATAATGTAACGAATTCTTTTCCGCACCGTGGAAACCCATCCTTGCCACCCCGCCTATTCACCTGGTTCGCTTTTTAGATCCACGTCTTTTCGCGTCCGGTCGAAGCCCAACCGAAACGTCAAAAGTCATTGGAAATCCCGGAGGTCTCGTGCAAAATTGATTTGTCGCATGGATTTCGTTATCTGCGACTTGCTAGCACCTTGGATTTTGTGGAAGTTTGAGAAAAATGCATAAGTGAGGCTATGCTTAGCTTGCTGCGCTGTCGCATTCCCAAAGAACAGGGAGGGAAGAAGAAAGAGGGAAAGAAAGGCATAAAATGAATATTTTGCAGTTGGAAATACAATATATCGAGGTTGTTACAAGAGTTCTGTTATTTCTTCATTATCGATTCTCGATAATGTATCGTTTGTCGTCTGTCAAAACGTCATCTGTCTATCATTTTATAGAATTGTCTGTATTAATACCGTATTTCCTTCGATTGAAAATATCAAATTATCGCGACAACTTTGCAGTTACGTTAATAACATCGTAATGATTGATTGATCTTCGCTTTTCAAGGCTAAGCTTTAAAAAAAAAAGAGAGAAAAAAACATGCTTCAGGATTACTACGAGTGTTCGAGAAGTGTGTATTAAACGGCTGTGATAAATACTCGGAACGTTTACGGTAATAATGCAAGTACGTCCGCGATTAGGGCAATAAATCAGGTAACCCGTTACGCAAATACGTATAATGCATATTCACAGTTTTACCTTAGCATTTTGGTTGCTATGCAAATAAACGTGCTACCGACAGTTGTGTATGGATATGCGTACAGAATGATTTATGCAAGTTCTTGAACTGATTACGTTATTTGGAATACTAATGATCGTGTTAAAAACGGTAGTAATTCCATTGCCATTGGATTAACGATGCGTTTGCAACATGTACATTCGCGTTTGCGAAAGATCGCGAATCCATTGGCACTGAGCATCGATTCGTTACCTTCTAAATTATAGTAATTGGAGTAGACTGCTTCTAGAATTATTGATTTTATTTAATTTGATTAATTATCCAAAATTATTCGCCTACATTTATGTTTCAATCGGAATAAATATACATTTTTTCACTTTATATGACAATCGACAGTTTATGCAATGTATTTAATAACGTTAGACAAACGTACATGCATTATTCAAACGTGAAAATAAAATACCTGCTCAATCTAATAGTGCTCTTTGTCTCACGGACCATGAGTGCTCGTTCCCAAAAGTGTACGGCTTCCGGTAAGATAGTATTCTGAAATAAATCGAAAGATATAGTTTAGGTACCACGTAATTTTTCCTTCCACTGTATCAACTTCATAACTGGACTGCAGATTTCTGTGCATTTATAGGAAATTTGAAAGTACAAAACTGCACAAAATACATATAACATAAAAAGAAAGAAGAACGTACAAAACATCCAAACTACAGAACTTTTTACAATACTTGGTAGGTAAAAGAATTTTCTACCGAGACTCCACTTTCCCAATTATATCTCCGAAAATATGAATTTGCATAAAAATCTACAGTCTGTTCGTAATACTTATATTTCTAAAATCGTGTTAAATCAAATGTATTTATAATACGGGTATTTAATATATGTTATTTTTTACAAAATCTTGAAAGAGTTGTTCTTGAAAGAGCTTTGTGTCAATTATTCAAGACAAAAGAAGTCCCAAAAATTACTTTATAAACAGAGCTGTCTATTTCTGTGTTACCATGTTGTAGATCCACCCTAGGTACCTGCTTTTGTATGCTTAATAGCAACATACGCATCATAAACACGGAACACGGTGCACAGGCAGTTAGCGAACACGAGAGTGCCTCTCTTCAGGTCTGACTCTGCCATTGACCTACACCCCTAGCTCGTTAGCCTTCGAGTCTCTTTGGCGGACAGCTTGCTCGTGGGTCCAAAAGGACTATGTTTAAAGGGTCGGAACAGTTACTAATTTGTTGCTCAGATTTTAAATACGGGCTAGAGTTAGAGTTTTAGGACATAGAAGGCTGAATTTTCAAAATAAACATTGATGAGTTGTGTTATACAATTGATGCAATTCCTATAAATATTCATGAAAAATATTTTGAAAAATGAAACGCTATATTCTAACTAATAATAAGGAGGCTGGTATATAAGTTTATCTTTACTATAAGATTTAATAATCGTTCATTTTCGCGCCAAATGCTGGTCCTTCGGCAAATCCAACGTAAGTCGTCTTTCTCTACTTCGAAGCCAATTATGTTCAAATTTTCCTATAGCAGCTTCGATAATCGTTATTCTTAATCTGTTTAAGTACTGGGCTTTTTCGCAGAGAGTAAAAGGAAGAAGGATGGGAACGACAGAGCGCTTCTATTTATTGTAAATAACAAAATAGACAATAACGAAGGAAGCAGATGGCAAAAATGAGATGGACGCCGATCGAACTGCACTGGAAGAGTGCGATGTGTGCCGGCAATTTAGACATACTGCGATCGTTTGAAGAAGGTAACAGTGGCGGTTAATGACGCAGATTCTGGACAAATAACAGAAACGATAGCAGCTACGAACCTTTAAGTAGGTTGAAACTCTTGCAACCTGTTTTTCTATGTTACGACCAATTTTCTTTGAAGAGGCATCTTTATTGAAAAAATATTTCATAGTGCTGCAGTCACGATTGAAACGGTCTGCCACGCTACTGTTATAAAAATACGTAGCCTTATTTTAAGAAAATAATTTTGAGAACACGAAATTGAGACAAATTTTTGCTTATCATAATTTTTCTTCTCTTATTTATACAGGGTGGTCAGTAATTGGTGGTACAAGCGGAAAGGGGATGGTGATACTACGCGAAAAAAGAAGTCGAAAATATAGAATAAAAATGTTCTTTTTTTAATTTATTTTTTTTAAATTTTTCCATCGAGACAACGATCTACAGTGAGGTCCGTTATAATGAGACGTGATAAAGTGCACGCGTACCGAGCGAAAATTCAAAGTCGATTTTCTCGAAAACAAAGCCTCGAACGAAAAATTTTTATTCTATATTTTCACCCCTTTCTGCTTGTACCAACCACCCTGTATACGTATTAAATTAGATGAAATAATTGGTAGTTAACTTAAACTCTATCAGCGATATTAATAAGAATAAAATAATAATGCTTATATTATTTTACTGCAATAATATCTAGATGTAATACTGTCATTAGGAGAAGTCTCGTTCATAGTAGTTTTCCTAAGGACATGCGTACTTTTTATGAGGTGATTTATTCATCCAAATGATAGCACGCAAAGAGACACGATATAACAATAAGAAGAACAGGATATATTACTCGATTTGTAGCGACAAAGCTTAGATACTGTTCGTCCAGTAAATCTACAGCCACTTCATAAGACAATTATATGAGAAATATGAATATGGATGTGTAGAAATTAATGATGAGTTAATAAAGAAATGTAAATTAACATTTAAACTAAGACTTTCGAGCGGTGCTGTATATCTTATAAAAAATCAGCAAGTATCCAAATACATTGAAACGTTCATTTACATTATCGTTTCAAACATTTTACGACATTTTGAATAGATAATTACACTAAAACATACACGTTACACTTAAAAGGCAATGAATGCTAGCAATCGATAAAATGAATACGTTGTATAAATCTGTGTGATCCGTAAGGCAACATTTCCTTTTGTTTTGGCGAAGCGTGGGTGAGAATCCGAGAGGAAGAAACGGCTGATATTACTTCCGACTGCTTTAAACAAACGATCGTCGGATGGTTGTATTGAGCGTAGAAGTAGTAGAAGTCTGTTGGGAGCTACGCTCGGGCGAACGTGCGTCATTAATATCGGCCTAATGGCAAGCGCCTGATAATTAAAACCGGAGCCGAACAAATGGGGCCTCGAACACCATGGACGTGCAAACGTTTAATTTCATCGTCTTTAATTATTTTTCACCGATTGCATTCTAGACGGCGCTCCTCGTTAACAGCTTCACCGATCCAAGTTACGCTTTTCTCCCGTCCATCAAATAACAGCCAAGAGTTTATCGATGTTATAACGAATCATGGAGAAAGCTTATATTACGATTAAACTAAGTGACTTGTTATAAACGAAGCGTCCTTGTAATAGAAGTTTCCGAATTTCTATTTCATTAAATTTTACATTGGCCGATCTGTAATTAAAGTAACTACTAAACAATTACCTCGTAATATTTTAATCAAATATGGGAAAGGAAATATTATTTTAGAAAGATTAGGATCTTTTAATTAAATAGATATATTTTTCCTTCAACGTTGGATATTTTGGAAGTATGATAAATATCTTTGGTTTATACAAATTAGTTATAATACATATTTTTGCACATTTTCGAACATAACGATTGACCAGAACAAGAATAACTTTTAATTCCAGTACAGAAAAGTAAACGATTGTTGAACAAATTTCGAATAAAAGTTTACAAAAATTGTTGAATAAAAATTAAATTGCTGAATATATCATTGTTACGAATTAGCCGCACAAAGACCAAATGAAATAGCCGATTGTATGGGAGGAAAGGAAGATAAAAAGAGAAAACAATTATTTGTCGGATATGAGCGTTGGCGTTCTTGTGAAATATGCAGAGGCATAAATATTTTATAACGTGTACGCAACGAACTGCCTATATTTTTAAAAAACATTTTAGATGTTCAAACTGGGGGCATATGGAAAATCAACAGAAAGCTATGAATATGCGCGGAAGGGAGACAAATACACGATGTGAAAAAATGCACATGGCAACGATGATGTGGCCATTGTTACAGAAGCATTGTACGCTTGTTCTGAAAGTTATTTCTCAACTCGTCCTGGTTCATTCGTGGTTCTGCATTTTGCAGCCGTACTAATGTATAAAAATGCTACACTGGAAGTAAGTACGTACATAAATATGCTTCTAATTTTTATATCGTGTTCAATGTGCGAAAAGGTATTATCGTAATAATATCGAAACCAATCAACAGAGTAACTGTCTTAAGTTCAAGCAAATTAATTGTTTCCTCGGCAGGTAAGCGATGCAGCGAATCCAATTTTTCTTACGTGCTGGCATGAATCTCGGCGCGCATTGTCCATTACGTCGACCCTTTATCCTCGTTAGTTTCGTTTCGCTCTGTCTCTTTTCTTTCGACGTAGCTCGCCCCTTCAGTCAAGATACAACTTTCGTTCCTGTGCGTTTGCCTTCTATAGACGCATGTGCCATGTACTTCTTTATCACTACACAGGAGAGGCGGTATTCCCCTTTATCACAATATTGCGTAACTCTTGCGGCCTTATCAGCATCCTAGGAGTACGTTCTTGTTCCGTTTTCTGCTGGTGCGAGGAATTTTCCCTATATCACATATCAAGCTAGTGCCTTTTATCAATGTGTGTACTATAGTACGGCATTATTGCTATTATACTCGCATCTTTCATAAGTCAGAGAACACTTGTTAATTTTAAACAGAAATTTTAATAAAATGGGAATGTAATACAGTCTTCAAAATATGTATATTATAAAATTGTTTTCCTGCAATACACGCGGTTAATAAGTGTTAATTTATTCTCTAGTTGTAACATTCATCTACGCTTGCCCTACATATATTAACAATTAGTGATTTATGAATGGTACTGTAGGTTTTCTATTTACCGATACTTGAAATTTACTTGAGATTTAATATATAAATTGCTTTAATTTGTTCACTTGTTTTACATGTACTTCAGCAAATATTAACGTATTAACGTTCAGCAAGTATTAACGTTTGATATTTATTGTTAGACTGTGCAAATTTGTACAAAATTCATATATTTACTAATAGCGGAGAGAAGGTTGAATAAAAAAAGTGTCTCATCTCTTTCAGATTTGCATTTTACATCGTAGCTTTCCATAAAGACGAAGAGCTAAAATATTCATGAATACGTTAAATGATTAAACCAAAATATATAAATAATTCGCAACCTGCCATCTCAGAGACCAGTCATCAGTTGCGAAACCATTAACACTGAATGGTAATAAAACAATACAATTAATGCTTTTTTTCTTTTACAAAAAAAAAAAATTATTTAGGGATTGAAAGTTGCGATCGTGGAAAATAGACCAGGCAAGAAGAAAGGAATTAGTCTTGCTTTATCGAATCCCGTACAGTCAGTTAGATGTCAGTATTAAATGCAAATTCGAAGTCTTATTTAAATTTTAGATGCAATTAGATTCATTTACTCTCACGGGTGGCAATTATTCGACTTATAGAGCAAGGCAGAGCTAGAACCGGTATCGCGGTGAAAATTTTCTGAATAAATCAACCGCGGGTGGTGATGTACGAATCCTGGCCGACCTGGCGAACACTGTTTCTACTTTGAACGCCACCATTTACGGTTTCCCCTCTTTGCTTCTGCTCCTACCCGTACCAACATCCGCCATCCCTTCCAACATTGCGATTTACGATCTCGATAACTAGCATTTTATTCATGGAACCAACTGGCTTTTTTCTCTCCTCCTACCAGTGACTAAGTAGCGAACAATTCGGCAGAGGATAACCCGTGGCCGAAGATTCATCGAGCCGATCTATTGTAGCAGAATCACGTAAAGGTGGTTCCGTGGGATGATGTACTAAAATATTAGTAGTCCTTCATTTAAATACTCGTTTAACGGGCTTCCAAGCTTATGCAAATGCACTTCTATTTGTATACTTTCGTGCGTTAGGTTGATACATGGAACGTTGCTTTTTCCTTTAAATGGAACCTTAATAGCACATAGTTTCTTCATAATGTGATCAAAAGAATTTCCAAATGATTCAATGCGATTTTCCAATGATCTAGTATCATTATTCTCATTTGTAAGAATTTATAGGAGATTAATTGTTCAAATTAAAAAGTTTTTGCGATGAAATCGTTATAGAGAACTTTTAAACGATTTATGCAGTAAAAAATTATTCATGTGGAAACGAGGATTACAAATTTATGCTTTCAGCAGTTTCCACGATACTTTTCTCGATATGAGAAAATTGAGGAGTATTCTAATTATTTATGATGGTCAATAGCGATTTAGAAAATAAACGTTGATAAATGCCTTATGTGATGATATTTAACATATGGAATTTATAATGCGAAATAACGTGTTTATTTAATTACTATGTCTGTTTGCTTGAATTTCTCTCAGAACGTACTATTAAAAAGTTAACTCGTGACGTTTCTTATTTTTATGAATTATGTGGAACGACAGCTAGTTAAAGTTAATGGATAACTATGTAATTCGCAGAAGAGAAGCTGTATAGCTTCATTTAACGTCTATAAATTATTGTGATAAATATTAACAAGTACACAAGTACGTAAGTAGGCATTACGTTACATATATCAAAGCTTATTAAGCGGTTACAGATTCTAACTTAGTGTCAGTGGTTGAAGCATTCTGATACGACTGCGGTTTAATGAGGGGGCAGACCTCAAAGGAAACGTAATTACTGCCGCGTGCTCATGCAGTTTGTACAGTCTCGCGAGTAAAGAAGACCGCGCAGTAAGTACATGCTTATGAAAATTGTCGCGACTAATATTTCGTAATAAATTCACTATTTTGTAAATATCTCTGCATCTAGAAACTAAATTAAAACAGAAACTAAATTAAAAACTTCTTACTCTACTTATATTATGCATCTTTGGTAACCTTTCATGAGCACATTTTGAAAAATATATTATTAAAATTTGCAAAATGTGCTTTAAAGAAATACATCGCGATATTTTCCCTGATCACAGGCGTTATTATTGTATGAAAAATATTACAGTTCAATGTAAAAGAAATATACTGTTGATAAGAGTGGCACATCTAAAATAATTAACCATTTTGAAACGCTCGTAAAGATTAATCTCAAAAGTGAACCATCTCCTAGAAGCAAAATGTTGTTATTTCATCATAAATTAAATTTTTAAAGTGCTACTAATTATTTCTAACTATTTTTCATTCTATTCTTTATTAACATAAAATCAAAAGAGCGATGTCTAGTAATAAAAATGATAAAATCAAAGATAAAAATAGTGTAGTTATAATTGCAATAACATATAAAATGCAATAAAATGAAATAATCTTGGCAATAATGTTTCCAATACTTAATAAGATATTATGAACATAATTGAGAGTCGGCCACAAGAAATTGACGCGAATTTGAATCTGCATTAGAAGCTATCACAAACATAGTGAACAGTTCCAATATGCCCTTTTGCCATGTTTGACGATCGATCGTAGTCGTTCACTGGAAGAGGTTTACCAGAGAACGGAGCAATCGGTTTTCAGGGGCTGCACCCTGGCTCGATTTGCGAGATTATCATACGGCCGACTATTATGCGGAGTAAACGATGGGCCCGCGTGTTCGAAGCTTGCCTGGTGTTCTGATTGAAATGCGCCCGGTAATTTCCGGTTATTTGGCGCATACAGTTATGCCCGCGACGTGGTACACTAGACCGCCTAGATGCCGCGGCGGTAACGTTTGATACGACATAGAACGCGTCCATTTACCACGCTCCATTTCTACCCCATATGTGGCATATCAACATATATCAGGAAACAGAGAAAACCTGTCACAATTATATGTTGCCAATGGCTGGCGAAAATATTCGAACATTTATCACGTGATTTTTCTTGTGAATATATTACAATATATGCATTGTATGAATGTTTTCGAAACTTCGTTAACATCTATGAAAAACGCTGGACGAATGAAAAAATGAGAAAAATCGGTCACAATGGATTAAAAACGCAGCAACATAAAATTAAACAAGATATCTTGCGATAAATTTTCTAATGCTTGATATATATTAATTTCATTAATTTTTTACCGATATTAACGTTAAGCTACTTACATTTATGAGGTCCAATTTCTCATCATCCAGCCTGCAACAGAAAGACGAGATTTCTATATTAAATATTTTATAAAATGAACAATAATAGTATCAATAGTAAATAATTACATGTATCAGCTGAGTCAGAAATCTATATATAAATGTACGCTATGAAAAATCAATTAGTCATACGTATTCCCGTGAATTTTTTCAAATTAGAATCGTATAGTGTATGATATGTTCACAAAACGAATGGCGTTGAAATCATTCTAGCACGGAACACAAAGAGCTTTTAGTTTTTGAACGCGGGAAAGCATGCATAGTGGTGAAATGCGTTTACATCGAACGTTCAGTCAAGAATATTTGCAAATGGGTCATAAAAACGATTGCGTATATGTTCTGTCCTATGGTAAACTATTGTTCGCTGCTTTTTCATCGCATGTGCATAGGCGACAGAAGAGAAACCTTAAAACTATGCAATAGGTAATATGCCTATGTATAAACACTGTCATTTATAATCATCGAGATCGTCTGGTTGATTTGTCATAGCAATATGCAAATCGTATCAAAATTAATTCATCCGATTCAAAATTAAGAAATAAAAAGACCCCCAAAATAAAGTATTTCTCGCGTAATCAAATTATTATACAATTCGACAATTGCAAACGCCAATTTCATTCGTTTAGTTGAATACTGATTTCTGAAAGACAATTTAATCACTCGATAATACGTGCAATAATTTAGATTATTTAAAGTAATATAATTATAAGAATTTCATACAACATACATATATAACCTAGCTATATTATTCTTATTAAATTTCTAAAACGTAATGCGATGATTACTCAACTGCACCTAAAATGCTTCTACAAGCACGTTGCATGTATAGCTTCACATGCACAAGCAGTCCTTGACCTTCTTTTTTACCAACCAACCAATTCGCTCTCGTACATTTTAAAATTCTACTTTTCCGTATATTAATTCTCTTAATTTTCCCTTTTTTCATTCTCATCTATTTGTTTCCATTTCCTTGGTGTTCTTTCCTTCTTGCATTTCCTTTGTACTTCAGAGTAAATCTCTTCTTCCTCTGTTTACGCATGTGTCTGTTTCTATTCCTTTATGCCTCTCATCATTCTCGGGATAACTCTTTCGAGCTCGTTGAACTTTTTGTTTCACGAGCGCTCTTCTCTTGAGCAAAAGTGGGCATATACCCACGCCATTCTCATTTCACCTAGCCAAGCAATTTGCAGTTTTACTCGGCGGTGATTAAGATGCTTAATCTGTACGGGTACCGTCTACCTTCATCGCACCACTTCTTGCTGTAGTTAACCCCCTATCGACGTACTCAAGGGTGCCGGCGTCTTGGTGAATTAAGTTTTGAAAGTTAAAAAGTGCACCAGTTTAAACACAGTTGCCTCGCTTTCTCCCGCACTTTCCGCTATTTATTTGCCAACTTTTTATTGATTTCGGATACATAGCTACATATAAAGCCGATCGAAAACGAATAGCGCGTTCCTCTTCCTTTATTTTCAATATGTGCCGTGACGATGCAGAAACGTTCTTAAATCTCCACGTTAGTTATACGCTTTAACCCTTTCACTCTCGACATTGCATATAAGTAACGTTCCGCTTTTCAGATTATTAATTAAAGAAATGATAATGGCTTGAAATTTTAGTGGATCGTGCTTCGCTTACAAAACGTTAGAAACTGCGCTTATATTGTTAATAATTAGTGGAAATTAAATTCCCTCGATGTTTCAAACAGAAAGTTAACCGCTATCTATTAATCTTCTTTATCAGAGGAAAAAAACAATTGAGGGAATAAAGATAAACGTGCCATATTAAGCAATGACTATGTCTACGATATGAAAAGATTTGATAATAAGAAAATCAACTGCTTCAAAAAATATCGGATGTTAGAAGGAATATTCGTGAAATACGGTTAAGTAAGTGTCTAAAATTGTAGGAATATCAATTCGAATATTTAATAAAATATATATTTTCATAGTAGCAGTAAAAGCAAGTATTTGCGATTTTAAGGAACACTAAGTAGGGTAGTATAATATATGACATGTCGTGGTTGGCTGTCTCACGCAATACGGTGGTTTGTCACGGATATTATAGATAGCGAAATTCTTTTTAAAATACTCGGGAAATAAATGAATATTTAAAGAATAATTATTTTCATGAAAATAACGCAGGAATATGTTACAAGTTTGTGATTTCTTTGAAGTCAGCTTACTTTAATGTTCCAAAATTAAAACCTTCTTTCGTACATAAATTTTTGTACACTGTTTCCTTTTTTCCTTTCTGACGTGTAACTTTCTTTTAATCTAAATCGTTTCGAGCTGTAACATGTACTAATTAACATTTTCAAATTTTTAATTCAGATTTAATATTCTTCGTCGCTCTCGCAAAAGTTTAAAAGATTTCTGCATTTGCAGTTAAATTGATATACTGTTTTTTAAATTTCATATATGCGTCAGTCAATTTTTGCAACTTCTCTTTTGAAATTTGAAAGCTTTCCTATTACAGCTCCCGAACGAAATTTTTTGCAGCAAGTCATGTCTGAATAGTTTGATATATGCTGGAAGCATGTAACTGACAATGAATGAAATTAGAAATCGATTTTTTAAAGAGCAGCATTTTTTTGCAAGAAATATTATTAATCACGTAACAGTAGAATATTTAGCGAAAGACGGTTTTATTAAAACACGTTATATTATTATTATATTATTTAAACTTGGAATTTATAAGAAACAAAGAATTCATTGAATAATAGAAAATATAATAGTTAGAACGCTTATATTCTAAAGTACCGGTGGCAACAATAATTGGTTAAACTTTATTCCCTCAGGATAAGCAAACTTCGTTGTCACTCGTTTGTTATCCATCTAATGAAAACGGAATTTAAGTTGTACACTCTGGAAATCCGATTAATGTCATTTCAGAGAAAATAAATTTTCTGATCGGAGTCGAACATCAAATCTCTGACTGCCCGATATAATGTCAATACGAATTTCCTATTTGCAACATTTCGTCAATTTATTTTTAAGCAATGATAGTAAGATTCTAATTTATTATATCTATTTCAAGCATAATAGAAATACACAGTGGTTTTATAATTGTGCTTCGTGTAAAACTGTACAACGCATTCTCGACATTAGTTAGACACCAGTTTGTAAAATAAGTAATTATCCACTTATCGCTTGCTTTTTTCTACATATGGTTTACCAAAAGATTGCTGATTGGAACGACTGTAAAAACTTCTCTCCTGAGTCAATAGGAAGATCCTTTTAATTTAATGTATGATGCGGCGTTGTAATGTAAAAGAAGAACAAGAGGAAAGAAGAAGTGGAAGGGAGAATGTATTTTGTCTGGCGGCTCATTAGTAAGGTTGTTCCACTTACAAGGGTCAACTTGAGCGCAACGCGCCAATTTTAACAAAATTTACACATGAAAAACATTGTAGAAAAATTACTGACATGTATTTCTTTGAGGATGAGAAATATAGCTTCCTCTATATATCAAAAACATTTTCCAAAAAAAAATTGTTCAAACAAAGGTCGTGTGCTTTCTACTGATAAGTGTAACTACGCAAAGCAATATTTCCTGTTTCACGAATAGCTAGTTTTATTTAATATCTTTTTCACGATTTTATTTCCAGGTCTGCGTAAATTTGTTAATATAAATTACAAACTAATACGGTAACTACGTATGGGAGTAATAAACGTATTTCAGCGACTAAAATGTGGCGGATCGGTACCTACACTTCTTCCAAAAAAATATTAAAGGAGAACTTTACTCATCATAGTTATGATGTTAAAACAATCGTACGTACTTATCGAGAAGGTTCGATATAAAATTCATTTTTTTCCTGAAATGAATGGCAAGAAAATAACGAGCAGACCGTTAACGTAAATTGATTGCGGGCCTGCAATAGCTGTGATCGATGGCGAGTGAAACGTTTCCTTTGTGGTAGCGTAATAGTAGTACTTCTTCAAAGACCTTTTTACCAAGCTATCTGGCATCGAGTCAGCAAAATCACGAATCTTATTGATACAGCGTCAAATTTATTGGATTTTTCAAATAATACTACCAATCAAATTCTTTTGTGCAAACAAAAAACGTGTAAACCGATAAATGTGATGGGACAGAAATATTGGATACGAGTAAGTAATAAAAAGAACAATGGAATAAGAGAGAAAGAGAGAAGCAAGAGTCTTCATATTATTCAATATATTAAAACTTATTATAACGTCAATCTACTATTAGTAAAATTAATTTGATATCTTTTTCAATAATGACAACATATATGTATATATCTTAATTTGAATAATTACGGAAGCACTAATAACGCAAAACAAAATATTAGAAATTTAAATGCAGAAGATGTAAAGGATGCATTTAATATGCAAGAATATTCCGAAGTATGCTGCTGGTTATAATATTAACACTCTCTACCATTTTTATGAGATCAGTAGATTATGGATTTAAATTTCCAAATGACATAATGATTAAATACAATCTATAGACGTTGCAAAATTTCGTTTTACATTCTTTAACAGCACCGCTATTTGTGAAAGTATTACATCACATTAGCAGATAGTGTTTATACTATGGTTGGCTCTTTTACCCTATGGATCAAAGCTATTCTAATTTTCCACATAGCTGTATACCGCGTATCCCCCCTTAAAAAGGGATGCAAATGAAAGCGTACAGCATCTCCCTTTGGGAAACGGTACGAAGTGAACTAGGTTCACTAGGGAAAGAGAAAGTTACCAAGTAGTAACTATTGAAAAAGCCACGTGCAAGGAAAGTTGTTTTTAAAGAACACGATGAAGCTTGTGCAAGGTAGCACACCCTAGGGCGACGAACCCCATCGTAAAAACACTAGAGCGACAGTTCCGAAACAACAAGGAAGTAAAACTGTTCCAAGCGAAGGTTTCAAGCAATATACTGCACCCTTGTACAAGAATCGCGGTAATATATGTTAAATATAATGTATTAAGTGTTTCAAAGTGTGGATAAACTAGTCAGAGTTTTGATAAA